CTGCCTGGCAATCCAAATCCGAAAACCAATCTGAAAATCAATCTGGCCAGAAAATCCAATCCAAAAATGAATCTGGAAACCAATCTGGCTGGCAAATCCGATGCAAGTCGCTGCAAATTTGATTGGACTCTGAAAAGGATGAGCCGTCTAAGCCTTACACTACCGGCCTTGCTGCGTTCGCACCGCTGCTACTGCTACACTGCTACACCGCTCCAGACCAAGTCGTGACAAGCAGGTCCAACAGAGTTTCTAATCTAAGGTTGTTAGATATCTTGTCCCTCTTGCTTCTCTAATGTCTACCGCTCAGTGCAAAGAGGCTTGATTAGGTTGAAATTTGGTACATGTCACGGCCTTAGTTTCGTTACACGTGGGTCCAAAAGTTCATCTGCCCAGCACCTGGTTGCAAACTGGTTTCGGGATTCATTTTTAGATCCATTTTGGATGCGTTTCTGTTCTTGCTGTCTATACCCTGATGCATTTCATAACACCAATGCTTGTTCCTGGGCCCTGGCCCGGACCCGTATGCGCTCTGCCCTCCTGCTTCGAAAACAAGGATATTGGATGAGCAAAATGAGATTTCGGGCACTGCTGCTGCACGGGCGAAAATCTTGGAGCGTAGCGGCCTTATGCCGATGACATCGCAACGCCCCCAGCGGCAAAACCCAAACCGCAGGCAGAAGTGATGCAACAGCAAGCAGAGAGCTCGCAAACTCCACTGCGCCCAAAAAGATTCGAAGAACCTTTCGGCAGAAGACCTGGACAGGTTCAACCAATACATCGCACAGCACGAAGCGTCCAGAATCAACCCTGCATGAGATTGCTTTGCAGAAGAGATATGAAGAGCTTCACAACCTGGGTACGCCTGAAACGAATGTATGCTCACATAGTACGTTTTCGCTTGGCGCCCCTTGCATCCTGAATCAAACAGTATTCCGCGAAGTCCCTCACGACAGCCAGTGGAACCTCTCCAGGACTCGCGGCACTCGATTGTGGAAGTGTGTGATCGCTCGCTCCGCCTCTGTCTTGCTGGCAAGCCTCAGAAGAAGTGGTTTTGGGATTGGGGTTTAGTATGGCATGGGGCTCATCGCCGACACTCTATTTCAATTCCCCAAACTAAAGTTTAGGCTCGAAGCTTAAACCATGCACCCCAAGCGTGTAATGTACACCAAAGCCTTGTTCTAATTTGTAGGCTCCTATAGTAGGCAAGAAAACCCTAAACCCTAAGCCCTATAGTAGGCAAGCCGCCGGACGAAGGCTATGGCCCCCCAATCGGCGGCTTTGACCTTCATGCTCCTTAGCAGAGCCACAGTTTGAGGGTTCAGGGGTTTAGTGGCTTAGGGTTTAGGGCTCAGGGGTTTAGGGTTTAGGGTTTAGGGTTTAGTGGCTTAGGGTTTCGGGCTCAGGGGTTTAAAAGGCAGATGGGTAGCTCTCTAAATTAAATAGGGCCTCTTTTAGGGTCCGGCTTTATTTCGGTGCAGTACTATATTGGGGATCTATTACACGGGACCCTACTTTGGAGAACTACCCAGATGAAAGGGGCTTGCGGCTTGTAAGGGCTTAGGGTTTAAGGACTTGCGTAGGATCTTGGATAAAGAAGCGCTCTCTTCGTCATTAACCAATGTCGGTATCAAGAGAACAACCACCACGGTGGGGCCGTTGCTTCGGGGCACACTGTGAACCGATGTCCACACCTCAGCGGCCGCGTCTTTAGAACTTCTGGAGTTCTACGTAGCCCTAAACGTGACCCGGGCTAGCTACAACACTCAGCCCTACTGCAGGGGCCTAAATAATGACCAATAATATGTTTTTTTTTTGGGGGGGGGGTCGTTATTATACTTATAGTACAATGGCCCCAAAACCCTATTCT